CGTGTGTAACTATCTTAATCAAAATAATTAATAAATGGAATCCGGATTTAAGCAGCTTTTTATTTTCTTAATCTCCACCAGCTTTCATCTGCTTTTCTTATTTATTTTCACACTGCTTATAATTAATTAAAATGTTTTCAACTAAGATGGAAAACGCAGCGCAGTTTTCGTGCAAATTCGATCATGAAGTCAGAAGCCGATGACGAACTTTGTTAATGATTGGATTGTTAACATGAAAAGAAACAGCATAAAACTGTAGAATTTTCTCACGTCTGAAATCGTCTGCTATAAATTGAGCTTTGGGGGCGTAGTCTTCAGTATGAAATATGACACACAGTAAATATATTTACTTTGCAGAAGAAATTAGTTTATAAATCATACTTATAAAGTGTTCAGAGATAAAAAGTACATTTGGTTCAAGTGACTAACCACTCTAGGTGTTTTCACCAAACGTTAACAACTGCAACAACAAACAAAATTTTACGTGTGAAATCAAGTAAAGGCTGCTAGTCTACGATTTTCTAAAGGATAACGAAATATGAGTATTTGAGTCATCTTGAGTAAGTTAGTACTAAAAAGTCAGTCAATTAAGTTAATTTAATTAGTCAGTCAATTTAAGTTAATATTAAAAAGTCAAATTGAGTCATCTTGAGTAACTTAGTATTAAAATTAAGCATTAGCAAGAATGAACAAGAGAAAATATTTCACATTATTTAACGAAAGTTTTCAGAGAATTTAAATCTAACTAATGTTCATACATATTTAAAATTTTTGTTATTATTTTTTAATAAATTTGGAGAACCATTGATACTATTTTCCACTTATTCTCAGTTTAAGAATAATAGCTGGTATATTATTTAACCTATTTTAGTTACATTATTTCATACGCAATATGCTTTCTTTTTTTATATCACCAGAAATTTAGTTTTACTACTGTAGAGTATGTCAAAATAAATTTCTTTCTATAGTTGATAAAGCCCCTTAAATTAGCTATGGTAAGCACAGCTGAAAACCATAAGCAAAATAAAATTAATTATGATGCTAAATTTGTAGATGTTGAGATCAGATTTTATTCAAAGTTATGGAAAATTCCGCTATTCTTTATACGTGTGAGAACATAAAATTTTCACACCATTCAGCTTATCTTCATCGCTACTGTAATCGTAATCGCTGGACTGCCGCGTGCGCCGCATGTATAAAAACTGGACAGACTGATTTTTCGATCTGCTGACGACGTTTCAACCGAGTATGTGGGGCCTTTCGGCCTCACACATCTCGTCCTCGTATTATGGAGCATTACTCACGTCTCTCTGCTATTTTATTTTTCCCCGAGTTGGATGAGAAGATATGTTCCATTTTCTAAAATGTGCACGATTTAGTGATAAGTATTTTGGATGGAAATTAATCTGTCGTGATGCGAGACCAAAGGTAAACCTACATCGAATGTCTGAACAGTGCCGTTCCCAATATGTGTAGACATGTTTCGTCAACCTCGGAAGAAGCCGACCATGTGCTTAACGAATAGAAATGTATGACAAAAGAAGGTCCTTTCGTTTAGAATACAACCACTTTACATAAAATAGTGAAATTAGAAATCAGTATTGAGCACTGTACCACCGATGTTCTTAGATTAATAAGTCGGACTCTCTATTTGCAAAATAGACGGTACTCGTGACTCGCATGTTTCACATACGAGTTTTGTGTTTCTAAGATCTTCACGATGATTTTCGTATTATGTGTTATATATTAATATTCAAGATAAGTTTTTTATGAAATAAATGTGTGATTAAATGATTCTACAATCTTCATGCATGGGGTTATTGGGTAAGTCAACCATTTTTGTATTCCTATTATTAATTTGTCAACTCGATGTACTCCACTAATTTTCAGGCTAGCTAATTTTATGCAGACGTGATTTATATTTGATACTCCTAGTATCACACGAGATTAGGAAGTCACATTTCAACACCACAATACTCAAATTAAATTCTCTTTATTCTGGCGCATGCAGTATATTCATCCAATGTTCTGATGTCATTCATACAATCAGTACACCAAATCAACTAATAAAAAATATCGGAAATTGTTTCATGTATCTAGAGCAAGGAAATATTTTGTAAGAGAAACACTGAAATTAAAATATAAATGAGTGTGACGCAGTTTTATGAGACTGGGTACCACAGCTAAAATTACCAAAACTATTTCAAGAAATTCTAAGATTCTAACGATATGTGTGTGTTTATGTTGCAGTAAATCAACATTAAAAATACGGTGAAATTTACTCTTTGAATTTAGACTTACTTACACTTTTGATCCATTATAAAAACTCCTATATTGGAAGTTTGACTACTTCACTCTGTTATAGTTGATAGATGCATTTTTCTCTGTTACATAGTTGATAAATGGATGTTTTAAGTTGCCATTTATTTATTAATTCTGTTTACTTATTTGTTTGTGGCTTATCCCATCTGATCGACAGTAATATCAGATCAGGTCTCTGATATCAGAGGAATTCACGAAATTCTTCGTGGCCAGGGGCCAAGTTTGCGCCTTTCGTTGCCAAGAGCCTTAGGCACTATATAGGGGACAGTATTTGCTCAGTTCCTCTCCCAGTTGTGATGGAGAACAACAAGAGAAACGGATCCGAGGGTCTCCCACACCTCTTTCCACACCACCAATCTCTGAGAGGACTTTCAGCTCACTGCATATTTAAAGTGCTTCCATGCCGAAAAGACTATACATTTAGAAACATCCATGCTTTCACCGGGATTCGCACCGGGCCCTTAGGTATGGCAGTTAGCGTCGCTATCCACTGTCCCGGTTAACACTGTCCCGGTTAAGGCATTAATATTTAATATCCACTGTCCCGGTTAAGGCATTAATTCTATATTTATGCAATATATTTTAATCTCGAATATTGATTTCTTATGTGCGGACTTATACTTGGTTTTTACTGTATATGATGTATTTCAGTTTCAAAACTGCTTCTAAGATTTCTACATTACCAGTATCTATAGTTTTTGTTTTCTTAGTGCATTCATGCAAGTTCTGGTCTCTGTATGTGTTACTTTAAGTCATAATGTAACAACAGCTCATGTTTTCAATATGCAAAAGTTCAATAACCAATGCCTGATAGTCATATTGCTTATCAGGCTTGGGAACTTGCAGCAGCATATTGAATCAAGCAATCGTACAGAAGTCGGAATGATTTATATTAACGCATTATTTTATATGTATCTTCACTTCTATCTTCGTCAGGTCCCACCAGGAGGCAAAATAGTTAACGAATGTAAAAGAACATTTGAAATTAAGAACTCAGCTTTGTAGCGACACTCACCTTCGTAATGTGTCTTGCCCAACTCTTAGAATCACGCATATTGGCTTTAACCTTTTATTAGCTGCGTTGTTTACGCAGTTTAGATATTCTGAGCGAAAGTAAAAATAAATGTCCCCTTGTAAATTTCAAGAGTTAATTACCATTAAAATCTTACTTTGATATTTTCTGTTCGCTTGAAATCCGCAAACAGTGAAGATGAATTTTGTAAGCGAAAGCTGTGCATTTGTTAAGATTAAGGTTTTAATAAAAAGATCCGCTTGAACGTTTTCTTCCGAGTGCAGTTTCAGTACAGAAAATGACTGACCAACAAAGTCCCAAAATTCAACAACAAAAATTCCCAAAGAGGATGTTTGGGAAATGTGACGTCACTAGCTTCTTTTTGTGTAGCTAGTTAGTTTATTGTGCTAGGGCAGTTTATTAGTTTGTCATTATACAAATAATTAATATTTTGTATACTACTTAGTGGTTTGTCACTCCTTACGAGTGAAACATCGTGTATGTTGCGTAAATAATTATCAAGATATTTAAATAAAAGGAGTGTAGCCACCCAGACGGTATATTGGTTAGAGGAGCCTACTGCGATACCTAAGGGCTCGGATTCGGAGAAGGCATGGATCTTTGTAAATGTATAGCGCCCTTGCGACATGGGGGCACTCTAAATACATGGCGAGCCGAAAGTCCTCTCGAGAGGTCGATGGCAGTGTGGAACTAACCAAAGTTGCACTGTCACCTGTATGGTACACAAGGCTGTAGCGAAACAAGCGCAATCTTGAATTTCGTGGTCTTGTTCTGATGCGGTCGGACAAGTGCGATACGTCACTACATAATGTAACATATAATTCATACATATATAATTATAACTTATTATTTAAAAATTAATGATCATTATATCTGCTCAAAATTCGTAATGTTTAAAAATATTTTATTAGAAATATTTACTGCACTGCAAAATTTAATTTGAGAAGGTCTTCAATTTTGCAATGAACTGGAAATAATTTTTTTTATTGATGGCCCAAATTTTGAATTCCAAAGTAAGCTCTAGAATGCCGTGATTTATGCAAAATTTATAATCTCCAATTTTAAATATTGAATGCATTATCAGAAAAAATTGTCTACAAGGAACGAGAACGAAGTCTGAAAATTCAGCTCTAGCGTGATGATCTCATATAGAGGCTGACTTTTCTAGTGACGAAAGTTTAGTTTCATTAGTTGATTATAGCAAAGCACACTAGAGCTAGCTGCCTAAGAGGAGGACTTTCTAGTGACGAAAGTAATTTGGCACCCGTTCGTTAACTATGCAAATCTATTAGATAATAACAAAAACTCTGATAAAAAAATGTAAAAATATTTATTACTTTTTGATGGAATCAATTTTTAAACTTAAATCCAGATCCACTTTCCATTTATCGAAGGGTTAAGTAAAACTTTATAAGCCAGTCTTATTTTCTATAATTTCTTGCGCACGTTTTAGGCGGTTTTATTGCTTTTATTTATTGCGATTATCGAAAATTACACGAACGTATGTCTAATTTTTTAGCCTAAGTTAAACTCTTTTCTTCCAATATTTTATATGCATTTTTCGTGCATCGGAACTGCATAAAAATACTGTTTATATTTAAATTGCTAAATGTACATAATACCAAATAAACTATATTGCAATTACCATGACTGTTGTAAATGGAATATTATCAATAATGCTCGAAGATAATGCTGATATCCAAAGCACAAGAACGACAGCCACTAGCAGACGGTGTTCCTCTTCTACGGCGTTAATAGCATCTTGAGTCATGTTGACAATGTACCATACTAACTCAAGTCTTGACAGCGCCTGAAAACATTCGTATGCATATTTGAATAATGCTGCTGCATTTATATGTACATTTTAAAGATACATTCATAGAAAATAAACATATTTTAAGTAAAGTTAATACATTGAGAAAATTAAAGCCAAACAGTTTTTTGAAGTTCTCACCAGTTTTCAACATCAATAACAATGCTCATAAATTTCTTTTAAGGACGCCCCTTTGCTTAGCATGCATAAAGAAAACGGCTACGGCTTTTAGATATTCTTTTCTTTGTTTATATGTTTTTCTTAGGAAATGACTATGTTTAAAATAAACAATATATATTAATAAGGTTTTTTTTGGGGTAGTTGAATACAGCAAAGCACGTTGTCTTTCATAGAAGCCTTTGTATGGAAAACTGGTTCGTATTCACTTCGAAATCATGAAAACACTCATTCATGTCTGAGAATTATTCACAGCTTACATTTGTGCTTAATGTTATGGCTTGATGGAATAACTTGCTTGTTTACAAAAGAGCGTTACAAAAGAGCGTAAAAAGAAATGCGCGAAACTTCAAAAAGAATTTCAAGAAACGCTAGTTGGGTTAATTATCATAAAAATGCTTACCGTTAAAGAAGTTCCAAGTAATTAGACGGAAATTCACCGAGACCAAGCCATATTTACACTTTAAACGCCATCGCCATCAAATACTTTAGAAAATGAATTTTTAATAGTAATGCATTTTTAAAATGAGGCATATTTAGTATTCGGGAATATTTTCAAAGAGATTTTATCCAAAACAATTTTGTATTGTTGCTTAAATTCAATTTTCGTACAAAGACCTTGTACATGAAAACCATTTAGGAAGGATAACTCAATAAGACAGTGTATTACATGACTTCTCGAAACCATTACATGTACGGTATTGAAAAACTTCTTAGTAATGGCACACACACAATACCATTAGCTTGCAAAGTTTCAATAAATTATTATAGTTCAGAAATTTTAATGGAAGCATATCCGTTGTAATTTCATGAGGATCCAGTATTTTATGTAGGTTTACATACAGAGTTAACCAGTTGAAACTTAAAATTTTTATTATGGTTCATTTTTAAGGGGTGTTGGAACCCCAAAATCTTCAAAAAATTGTGATTTCGAATTTTTGCATTTTCAAATTCTCTACACTTTTATGTTTCTAAAAATACCATTCTTTAATCTCTATGAAAATTAGAACTGTAAAAAAATCTAGTTTAAATTTGTCGTCTACTGCTTCGATCAATGAGGATTTTTACATAAAAACGCGTTTTTCTCCAAACGTAATTTTTTTATACTCGATGTACCTTTTCTCAGGAACTGCTGCTCACAGGTATCTAAACTTTTTATGGCTTATTTATTAGGTTCCCTAATATTTACTGAAATGAGCTTTTTGTAATAAACTTAGAAAAAAAAATAAAAAATTTTTCTGTGTGAGAAAAGTGCTAGCCTAACAAAATATTCTGTAATTTACTCTAAAATTCAAAATGTTTCAAAAGCTCATTTCAGTATAATCAGATAGGTATACTCTAATTACAGAAAACATTTCAAGCTTGTATCTATAGCAAATTTTGAGAAACGGTACATCGAAAACGGCTAATTTAACATTGTCGGTATAGGGGTGTCTGATACCCCTTAACAACTTCTAGTGATTATAATGCAGTGAATTTTCTTAACAGTAGCTTAGGGAACATGAAAAACAAGTACTGGGAAAGCAATCAAATTTTCACATTTGAAATTGTCTAAAGTCAGGAGAGTTTTGTCAGCAATAAAAAGTATTAAATATAAAATATATACAAAGAAACAACTTTTGAAAATAATGAACTATTTAATTGATAAGTTGGAGCGTAATCAGTAATTATTGCATATGAATAGTACAAATATAGTTACATATAAAGAATATTTAATCTTATTCATGCCTTCTAATAGAAAATAATACTTTAATTAGTTTTTATACAACTATTAACAACAGATTTTATAATCTTATCTGAAGCAAGCATGATGATTTCGCTGATATCTGCAATATAGGCTTGCTTTTGGTAATACAAGTTGTCCATACGTTTAAGAACGTGAGCCTTTCCACTATGCGAAATCAAAAAATCGCAATGACAAAAAGTACACATAGAAATTTTATTACTTTTCCGTGCTGAAATAATACAATGAAAGACACATGCAATAGAATTTCATAAAGTACATGAATACCTTTTTCTGGTGCTTTATAAGTAACACAAAAGATTGTAAATTCTCAAATATTTCTAGAAATTCGGGAAAACTCCCACGGGTTAGCAATGGCAGAACGCAGCGATTAGCTTAGACCTCATTTCGTATTTATTTGCTAATATATACAAGATGACCCGCAGCGTTACCTGATGTTTTGGAAAACTGGAGAGAGAGATTTTCAAACATATTTGCTTTACTACCGTGCAGAACTCAGCATTAGCGACAGCACCCTTGGTATTTCATTGAAGAAACAACCTTTGTTTTACTTTCAGATAATTTAAGTCCTTTGATTGAATTTGAACAAATAAATATTAATTATATAAAACACGCTTTAATTAACATAAATTAAACATCTTTTTCTTACCTCCATCACTACGAAAAGAGCTGCAAAGAACAAAAGTGTTGACCACTCAACCCTGTTCAAAACACTTTCAAGTTCATCAAAATCTGCCAGAACGAGCAAGCAAATGGCACCTAATATTGCTATCCAACCTATAAGGAAAGGGCATGTCAAGGACCTATAAGATTTTATAAAAGAGTTTTTAAAATTATAACAAAAATATGCAACATAAAAAGTTAGTTATATTTGTTTTACACTGCATGTTAAGAATCATCATCACTTTAATATTTACGAACAATTATTCAAAACTTTAATAATAAAATCATGTAATAAACTATATATATATTGACGAACAGGGTTAAATGTTTTCATTCTAGAAGTTTTCAAGTGAATGTTTTTAAGTTCATCATAAAAGATAATATATTACGATTAGAAGTGGTCGTAATATAATGAAACGCAGGGATTCAAATTTGGATGAATGATAAACAGTTTCTAAAGCAGAATGTCTTGAAACATTTGAGCAATTTAGGGAATTTCCGGGCTTTCTATATAACTGAAGAAATGATTTGAACAGAAACCATAGGATTCTGACTTTTTTTATTTCTAACAGAGTGCTCAATTTCTCAAATGCTTTGATTATAATTTGTAAAAGACAAATTATAAAAGAAGTTTGGAAATGTAGAATGAATTTTCCATGCTCCGAAATTACTTTTTTCCTATTCCATAACAATATTTCATATCAAACTTTTTCTGATAATCATATGTTACCTTAATTTTGATCAGCTGCATCACAGAAGCAGATTTATTTTGGAATCATATTTTTATATTTTTTTAGTTTAGTCAATTATCAGATTGCATGACTTCTGAAAATTCAGGCTCTCTCTCAGATAAATCGTATGCAATCAAAATAGCTTTCCTCGAAAATAGCTTTCCTGGAAGTAATTATAAGGATTCAAAGTCTTCTTTCAATGAATTCAGAGAATTAAATTCATTGAAAAATTATCTATTTGAAAATCATAATGTGAATATGAAAATATTTTAAGTGAAAATTATCTGAATGACTTATTTTAGAATTTAATACTATATTTTAAGAAATAAATTTTTAAACTAATTTCTTTGTAAAAATGCTTCTTGAAGATTAAAAAAAAAAGCCTACTTTGTAGATGCAAGCCTGCCATTTTTGAATGAGCTTCTGAACCAGATCTCAAATACTGGTGTTAGTAAACATTTCTAATTTTTGTCTTAAAATATGTTATGCATTTAAGCAATATTAAAATAGAAGCTACTGGTGTAATTAATGACATTAGTAAAATGGGAATAGTATTTAATTAGAAAATGTTAATTATGAGTAGCAAATATGTTTAAAAGATGCAGTGAACCTGTTTAGTGAACACGTCTCTCAGATAATTAGCTTTGAAAGTGATCAGTGTTTCTGCGAACACAAACAAATATTAGAATTTTCTCTCTAAAACGATTGCTTTCATATTAAACCCAAATCATTTGGAAACGCGGTTAGTAGCCTCAAAAAACGTTCATTATATGTTATAAATTTCCTGGATATCGCTTACTCTATGAGTTAGATATACCTTTCACTCATTTTTGGAATTCATTTTAACTTTATAATTGAAGATTACAAGACATGATTAAACATACATATGGTTTTTGGAAAATTTTAATCTGGTGATATCTGAAAGTCGCTGCATTTACCGATATCTTTGCAAATTTCCGTTGGTCGCCTCCCCAAAAATTCACTGTTCATAGCGAAATTTCTAGAATTCTGAAAATCTGAAATCATGAGAAATCTATGTATGTACCGTATAATTGAATGCTTGTTTACTTGTTTGTCTTTTATATCAATCTACAATTTAATTCCGATTTTTATGAAAGTTACCACACTCGACCTTCAAACAAGAGGAAGGTCACTATCTACATAAGATTTCTCAAAAACCAGCCCATGGGCTCCTCACTCTTTACATACATATATTTTAAGTTTTAGTTTAACGAATTTTTGATTTAAAATTCAGCGATTTAAAAGCTTTGCGTTGCTACTTTGCCAATCCTAAGATATCTATTTAAAATTTAACCAGAAAACTTGGCGATATAAAAAACTCTGTTGGCACTCCGGAAAACGCAATTACATTAATTTATCTAGAATTTAATAATCAAACTCGGCTACTTAAGAGAAATGTGTTGTCACTGATCAAATTAAAATATTTTAAAGGTGTGGTATCGTTCAGCAAAGCGTAAAATAATTAATTTTTTACGTGTTAACATGAGTGCTATTGCATCACACGCATTTTCTTCGCTTTATCAAAGTTACATTGAATTGCGGTGCTTAACCACCAGGGTGCCTGGGCGCATAGCCCTACCCCTCATCGAATAACATGATAAAAGTTTCGAATTATGAGAAATATAACTGAATGTGCTAAATAATTAAACAAATACAATTTTTTTCCTTAAGTACCTAATTACTAATCTATACATAATTAATATTTTTAACAATTTCACAGAAGAATACAATACACACAAGAGAAACAAATACGAAGTGCGACGCCTTAGTTCCACTAGTAAAAACAAAATGCAATCAGAGGAAAAAAGAACATATACAATAAAGAATCTGAGCAACAATTTGCATAACACAAATACAAAATTACTTAATACTAACATTTAGGATCGCCCTTCGGCGTTTACTGAAATTGGGGTCCCTAGTATCATAACAAGAGTTAACAACTACAGGATTGTCCAGAAGTTCCTGTTTATCATAAATTCCCTAGATAGGCGGCAAAAAAAATCACAAAGATCCTCTATTCTTAACTCTTTACGAATTAGGCTATTTCGAATGTACCAGGGGGCATTGCATATTATACGCAATACCCCGTTTTGGGCAGCTTGTAACTGCCTTCTCAAACTTTGCACGAGTTGCCAGACGAGGATGCATAACTAAAATTGGACGCAGCATGGTTTTGTAAATGAGCAACTTATATCAATAGATAGAACACTGTTTCGAGCAATTAAGGGAGAGTGAAGCTTTTATCCGAAACTTCCTGAGAATATGTGTAACGTGTGGGTTCCATGTAAGAGATTTACTGAGGATCATCCCAAGATAAGGGACCTGCTTGACCCAGGGAATGTCCACACCATACATTGCTTTTTGAAAGCGAATTTGCAATAGTCGTCACAATGCATTACTTTTGTTGTGAAATCAATTATGCTACCAAATGGAAAATCGATTGCTCGATCTACACATCAGGCATTAAAGAAAAAGGCGATTTTTATTTTCGAGTCGAGTATGCACTGCTCAAACCCGTTTGTTTGCAATAGAAGAGCAACGGAAAGAAAAGAGTGGCTTGGTTGGTTTTATTGAGACTACTGCAAAGCAGACCAGTAGTTATCTGCCTAAGGACTATAGAGTTATCTGCCTAAGGAATGCAATGCCTTGGCGAAGAGCTTTCCAAGGATTCGTACTTAGGCTAAGTATGAGAAGAACCATTAAAACACCCAAATCTCGTATGCGATTATTTGAATCCTGATCGAATTTCCTGTGTTGATGGTCTTATTCGTTCGGCCATTGGTAGGCATACTAGTGGTAGAATAAAATAATTATCATACTATACCTATCTCAAGCGTTTCAAACAGAACTTTTCGAAACCAGACTTTTCGAAATCATTAAATACAATATATTTTTCACATATACTTTTATAAAAAGTATTTGGGTCGAAATAATTTTATAAGATATTTTTTCATATATTTCATACGCCCTCTGCGGAATTTATTTAGTGCACAATAGATGTTGTCACGTGAGGTTGCTGAAAAGACATTTTGGTGAATCTTCGGATTATGGTAACTTGGCGAATTTTTTGGCGAAAATTTGGCGACCAAACCTGCTAGTTTTTTTTTTTTTTATGGATGCCATTTTGTTTTCACGAAGTAAAGGCATTTCCCCCTCCAACAATCTGCTAGCCGAATTACGCTTATGCTAGAACTTTTAAGGAATCAAAAGTGCTTAATCATGACGAAGATTAGGTGCAAAATTGGGAGAAAGTGCAGAATCGTCCACTGCTTCGCGCGTTTCTAAAAATTGCATATACGCGGTATTCATGTGCACGTCGACCTATTTTCACTTAAAAAAACATCCCAGAATTACACAAAAATGGCATTGCGCACACTCGACTTTATCCACGTACACATCGACCTATTTTCACTTAAAAAGTCAAAGAAAATTGACAAAAATCCAATTCTTCTTACTCTTGTAAAAAGCGCCCAACAAATAAGTTGGCGATTCTGCACTTTAGCAGCGAAAAATAGTTTCTAAGTACTTATTAGCTAAAATCACGATCAGAATTTTTCGGAAAATGTCACATTACATGTCTCATGATCTCTCATTTCTCTGAGACAAAATAATCTGTGTTTCGAACTGTGTACTTCTCAGATTATTGCTAAAGTCCTACCTAGTAACCTTTATCGCCTTACCAAAATGTCGCCAAACTACCTGTTACCATATTCCAAAGATTAGCCGACATTTTAAAGAAGTGGTTAAAAAGAGGATAAGTTTTCAGTTATTTGTCTGTATCTTAATCTTAAGGAAAAGAAAATAAATTCTGGTTGGTTTATTAAAATAAATGTAAATGATAAAAATCAAACGCTCTCATTCCCAGTTTTGGAATTCTGATTTTTAATTCAGTGCTTCATAATGCGTATACACTAGCAAACATTTCTTTTTGTAGCAAATACTAATAATTTGCTTTAAAATCCGTTCATGGATCTAATATACATCAACACTGCACAAATAAAATAAACTGAAAAAGGAAACAAGAAAAGAAGAAAGAAAAGAGGGAAAAACCACTAGTTTTTTTTTGTAATTGTGATGTAAAATACGGTTTGGTTGGTTTACTTAATTATGGTAAAGCATTCGGAGCTAGCTGCCTAAAAAGGGGGGATACATTCGTGGAGATCTTTCTAAGAGAAACTGGCTCGTATACACGTTACAACGGGAAAACCTAGAAAACGCCTATACAACCAACCCGTTCGTAGGGCTTAGAATTCCGGAACCAAACTACCAGTGTTCAACAACTTTACCCTAGGACACTGGTAGGTGTAAGTGATTTATTTGAAATTTTTTGATAACTTAGAGCTACTTAATAGCAAAAAATTGTAAAAAGTATTTGTAAAATAGAATAGTTTAGATTGTTGAGTAACTATTACACGATAGTTTCAATGTTTTAATTTTATTACACTTCAATGATTATGCGTACAATTAAGAACTTCATTTTAACGTAATATTCACTTTTGTAACAAAATGCATGTTTGTGCCAAGTATCGGTTAGGAATGTGCGCAGATTTCGAAATGGTTTATTGAAGAATTCAGGATGGTTTTTAAGCAAGAACAATTTTTACATTACATGCACATAAAGATAATTTTTTAACAGTTTTATTTTTAGATGAAAGCCTAAGTCTCAGTCTGCTTCTCATCTTAATGTCTTGTTGCCACATAAATAACTTCAGAAGTTTCGTGAGCCTGAAGATAAAGGTTTATTTAGACACATAAGAAAAGATAAAATTCAATATAAAAGGTTTGGAGCAATAAAATCGCTGAAAGCAATTATAGCTACGAAGATTGTTTGCAACACAATAAGCAGTTCACTTGATTGCAGTGTAACTAGATACTCGATTACACACTTTATGAAATCAACAAAAGCAACTCTAGAAGGCTAACCGCATTCTAATTTATACATTGAATCTACCAATCAGGTACTGGTTAATATAACGGATCTGGAGGTGAGCTATACATGTTTTACATATAACTTTAAACATAGAATCATAATATTAGCATAGAAAATACTGAATGTGCAATTATATTCACAATATTTCTACCTACATTAAGATATTTATTTTATCGTACAATCATCTATTTTGCATTTCATGTTGACAGAAATCTGCTGTCTGAATTAATAACCAGTTTTAGAAGTCATTTCGAGTTTAGAAATTTCAGAGTTTAAAGTTTTATATAAAGATAGTAATGGATGATAATATATAACAGTCGAAGAGAAATAAATGATGTCAAATTTTTTTCCTGAGTTAAAGGAAGTTGTGTCTGAACACTCTAGATATCGATAGAATTTTATTCAAAATTGACGCCAGATTAACATTGTTTTCATGAATGTTCAAGTTTAATGTTCTTCGCCGTGTTTCATCTGGCGTCGCGCGATTATTACCTGCTCAGACCTGTGTACGAGTTGTACGTTTGCTAATAGTTATTAATTACAATTGTTATTATAATAAATAAACGTTAATCTGTCATTATTTTAATTTTCAGCGTCTAATAACACAATCGAATGCGTACTATCGGTGGCACGCGCCGCTCGATAAGACAGACTAGTGCGGGCCACCAGTGGTACGCGCCGCCCGATGATGCAGACTAGTGCGGGGCACCGGTGGCCCGCGCCCGCGTGAACGTGTTAAAGTGTTTCTTTTGTATTTGATTTTCTTTAATATTTACTATTCGTTAGCCACACAATGTTTAAAAAAAAGCACCGCGGAACAAAGAAGAACTTGAAAATTTTTGATGTTATTTTATTGTTCCCTAATTATAAACATCTATACCGAATTCGAACGCGAATACTGAGCGCGTTCGAATTACGGAGAAGATAAGTGTATAGGCACACTGTGAAATGATGCACTTAAAATACTTTCGAGCCCCGTTGAAAGTATGACGAAACTATCTCTTTCTAGCCGAAGTATTTTGGCCATCCTCTGTGGGACACATTGTGAAGAATTGACTAAATAACCAATAGGGTCAGTCATTACGAAGAATGTTTAGCTGCCTAAGTGTCAGGTCGTTGGGAAATATATCTTTTTACGTTAAAATAAGAAACTTCTTAATATTTTATTATGCAATAGAATATTTTTCTCTAATATTACAATAAATAATCAAAGAATTCATTCGCTGAGAATTGCCTAAGCATTTGGATGGGGGGTAAAGTATGCATATATTTTTATCTTTTATTGAGACAGAGAATTATTTCTAAAATCGAAAGTGCTGGAGTCCTATAGAAGGCCTAATAATAACTAATATAAAAATAAAATTAACTGCTTAATTAAATTGATTAAAATAAAGAGATAAATAAAAAATTAATAAATTGGTCAATTAACAGTAAATAATTAAATAATCAAATTACTGATCCGCATCTTATTTGGGTCTCCGGCTGGAATAAGTTTTAGTAAAAAACGTTCCTTTGATTTCCTACTGAATTTAAGTCTTGAATATACAGCATAATGTATTATTTCAAAGAATAAAAAAACTTTTTTCTCTCCCCACAAAAATGAGGGATGGGGAAAGTAAAACAGTTAAAGCGTCACTAATAGAGAAAATTGAAGGAAATTTTAACAGAATCATCTAGGTATGAAAATAAAGAGAGGTGTCCAACATTTTCTGACTACGATCCCCTGCCAACATAATTCTAACTGTAAAGAAGAATGTCACAGGGGGAAATATTTCTCAACGAATCTGTGGACTGATCTATAAGCTAAGAACAAACTTCTGTTAGGTGATAATTTTCGTCTCCAGTCTTTGATTACGTTGTTCCAATAAGTAAATATTTTTTGTAGAAGTTACTATCATTGGATGTGCTTGACAAGGTGATAAGTTAGAGTATTTTCGAAAACGAAAAATTTACTCGCTGTCAGATTCATTGCATTCATCCTAGAGAATAAGCCTCTGAAATACGAATTGCTGCTTTGCTTCTCTTTCTTTAAGAAGTTCAGCCTCCATCAAAGGGCTTGTTTTCAGGGAAAAAGTGTCATACACTTAGAAGTTAGAATAAAGTTTTAAGGATTACTCATAAAGTTTCAGAAATAATAATAAAAAATTATTAAATGCTGAAATTGTGTTTCAGTTACACGGACTAAAATATGGCTGGAATATATGTAAAAGTACAGCATGATGCTATAGGATGCATTAACAAAATACTATTTAAGTTACGTAGTCGTCCTTTTTGTTTGCAACTGTTTTCATACATATACTCATGTAGATAAAGAAAGGCAGCAATGTAACATAATTAAAGGATTACAGTACCTATTTAAGTTACGTAGTCGTCCTTTTTGTTTGCAACTGTTTTCATATATATACTCATGTAGATAAAGAAAGGCAACAATGTAACATAATTAAAGGATTACAGTACCTATGCTGAGATTCAGTTGAGGAATACTCTCCAAGAAGAAGAAAATAATCACAATTCCAATCACAATTCCAGATTTCAGCAAGAGAGAAGAATTTTTCACCTTAAACTGGAAAATATACTTAAAATTAACAACTATAATTAGTTAAGCAATCACAACTGGCACAAAAAATTTGAAAATTCTGAAGAACATACGTAAAGCCATATCTTCAAAAACATTTGATTTCGTTAAATTTTGAAAAATACACGCTAACTGAAAGAATCGTACCTAAGCTGAGATTATGGTAGAAAGCTTCGCTTTATTTTAAAGTAGATATGAGATCATCTTTCTGCTTTTAGCATGAAGCAATTCGTAGAAAACGACCTGAATTCATGGATTGTGTACTACAGTAATTACTCTACTCACATTGGTATTATTCTTGAATTTTTTGACCAAAAATTCAAATCTAGGTACACAAGATTCGTATTCACTTGATGTTAAACGGTGGGACAATTTGATATTTCTGAGGTTAGAATTATTGCTTTGTAGCACTTTTGAATCCATTGACGCAGTGCCGCGAGTTTTAAGCTGGCTTGTGAAAACTTGACCGAAGAACTGGAAACCTTTGACATCCGCACATAGCAGTTGAAAGGTATTAATTTGAAGGCTATGTAAGAAATACTGAAATTTTGCGTTTTGCGGTATCATTTACGATACATTTTGGTGACAATGCTACATTTTAACAATATTACTTTGAACACAATTGATTTCATTTCATTTTCGTGTGCATTCACAATTAACAAAATCATACTGTTAGAAGGATTTGATGATAGAATACCTCATTAGCTTCTTCTAACGAAAGAGTTTTCTCGCTTTGGAACAGACAGGCATTACTAAAATACCGAGTTCTTAGAAAGAGTAAGTTACTTCGTTAACTTACTCTTTCTAAGTAAGTTAACTTAGAAAGAGTAACTACCTTTTGAAAAAGGTTCAAGCACTAAAAAATTATTTTTCACGCTGCGATACGTTGATTTTCGAAGAAAAAGAGTCCTTAAGTTTTTAATCTGCAATTAATGTTTATTTATTAGAGGATTCTTTATCGATTTATGCAGAAATTAGCATCTCGTTTCATTAAATTAAAACCTTCTGACAACTTATATTTATCCAAACACAGATGTTTTATATATAACTGTAACAGGAAATATATTTCTAGATTTGAAGCATATTTGGATTAAATGCAATACTATTTTAATTTAAATAACCTTTAAGCCTCTACAAGTTTTCTTATGAAGAATATTATACATTTCAGTAAATAAAACGTTTTAAACGGCGAATTAGAAACGCCACATTAAGTCATTTTCATATAAATTTGGAAATGCTTTGAATAAGGAAAATAATGCTTTTTTACTTTGCGTTTCTTATTTTTAAATTTCCTTTTTAAATGAATGATATGCTAGAAAAGAAATTAAAATGAATAAAAATATTAATAAAAACTTAAAGTGTAGTAATTATAAGGCAGAAATTTTATGAATTCCTATATTCTGAGTTTGCTCTTTATTCCATGTTTATTTTATAATTATCGTTCACGTTTTCAGGTCAGACATACTTCTTTTTCCTCAAGCTTGTCATTATAGCTGATTATCAGTTTCTATTCTCCCCCGTCACTTCACTTTGCCCGCATTCTCATCTTTCGGAGAACACTTAAAAAAAAATTTATATTGCTTAAATTTACATCGCTTGATACTTGATGACTTTGAAACTAGCAATTAAATTTTCAACTTAAACTTAGCAGTTAAACTTTCCACTTGACGACTTAGAAAATTTTAATAATTTTAATTTTAGTAAAATTATTTTATGATTAATTGAGCACATCAGAATTATTTTAAATCAATGCCAATCTAAAAATTTAATATGTCGCTGTCAATGTCTTTGAATAACAAAGTAGAATAAAAAATGTCTTGCTAGTACAAAATTTTAAATTTCAGATAGAAAGTAACTATAAATTTGAATTATTTCCCTTTGCGATATCAATTATTGTTGATTATGTACGTTTTGAGAGCGAATAAAGTTTTAAGTTTGGCAGATAGAAGGTTATGCATGTGGCAACTCTAGATGGATTTGTGTCTTTTAGCAGTGTTTCTGAGGATTGCACTATCAATGGTTTAACAGTAATTAAATATACGAGGGTTGGAACTTTAATAGTGGCAACTATTTATTTACAAGGAATACAAAAGTGATTCATGTCACCATGTTTTACAGTCCTTCAATATAGTCGCCAGCATTGTGTACAACCCGTTTCCAACGACGTGGAAAGTCGCAGAATACCTGTAGCAGAGCAGCCTGTTTTGTTGTAGTTTGATGGACCGGTCTACTGCCGCAAGAATCTCAGAACCTTGGAAGCGAGTGCCACGAAGTGGTTCCTTCATTAGAATTGAGTCTCTAGTCATAACAGCTTAGATCTGGGGAGTAGGTGGATGGTAAAGCCCTTCCCAGCCCCATCGCTCTAACAAATCAGTCACAGCTTGCGCTGCATGCGGCCGAGCAGTTGTCATGCAAATGAGAGGAGCGTTCTGCAGAAAGTGTCGCCGTTTTTTCTCAAAGCTAGTCGGAGATGTACTCCAAAAATGAGCAGTAATACTGCCAGGACGGTTGCTGTTGGAGCAACGGTATGCGTTAGGATGACACCATCACAGTCGTACACGAGAATCACAAACTTCACATTGCTGGGGTTCTGACGAATTTCGAACGTCGCGGTGACGCGTGATGACGCCATTCGTTTGATTGGTGTTTCAGTTCTGGCTGGTACGATCGGGCCCAAGTCTCATCCAGCGTAATGATACGGCGTAAAAAAGCATCTCCTTCGCACTCATAGCGCTCCAGGTGGGTTCGGGCAGCATCGTATCGTAGCCATTTCTGCATTCTGTCAATTGATGTGGAACCATGTAAGCAATTTTTTCATGGACAGGGTTCCTTCAGAATGGGAGCACATCGTATGCGCTATTCTGTTTGTCCGGCCAGCTGACGAATCGTTTGGCGGCGATCACTGTCCATTAGTGCGCAACAGTTGACGTCTGCATCGCGACACTCGGACGACCTGGCCGCAGCATGTCTGCCACGTTCGGCGTCGTTCATTGAATGCTTTCAGCCATCTTGCTACATTTTCTGTAAGGCAATGCAGATTCCCCGCAAGCCTCTTGAAGCCCTTGATGACACTGTGCCGTGCTTGTACGACCTCTGTCACATTCAATTTTTATCACATCGTTGTTCTTGTTTTGAAAAACTACTGACAACTTACTTTAGACCGCGAGCTAATACAAGCGTCACTCCTCCGCGTCGTAGGCTGACGAGTCTTTTGCGAGAGGTAGGGACGGTTGCGTTTGGTTACGCGATATCTTGGTTTTGTGCGTAGGTTTTTTCAGCTGTGTTGCCACTATTAAAGTTCCAACCCTCGTATTTGACCAGAATTTAAACTTATATTTTAGTTAACTGCTGGTGAAATTTATCATGTCTAAGCATTCCAAAGCGGCATTGGATTTAAAATAAATCATATAAAAATATGAAACATTTCTGGGATGCTAATTGTAGGTTCATTTGCAGACAAGACAGTTTATTCGTAATTTATACCTCTGCTTAATTTGAAAAATATTTTCCACTAAGTGTGTGTTATAATGAAACAAAATGATATTTCCTCTTTTGCTAATTATAATAAAGTGCCGTTATATATCAATAAATTTTCAGCTTTAAGTATATTCGAATAAAAGTTTCAAATTTCAGAAGCAAAAATTTCCAATAAAATAAAATTTTTTCTTACATCATTAAAATATTTCAAACTTTGCTGCATAATACTTTATTATAATGAGCAGCATTTTTCTTAATCTTTTCTCATTAATGCTAGTTATTTCAAGAAAGCAGCAGACAAATAATGATGTTAGTCAGATAGTTTATTTTCAGCAAACTTAAAAGTTGTTTGCATAGGAAAATTTATTTATTTCACAAATTGTTTTGTGACTTGACGTCGTGCTATATTATCATATATTGTTAAATATACTATTACGCTTATATCATATTATCACGATAATGCTATCATGAAGAGGAAAATTATGGAAGCTCTACAAATTTAAGTATTCTACACAATCATTTAATCCTTTCTTGACATTAGAAACTACAGCAACTGGTGTTTTCACATAGTTGGGAGCCGTAATTATTACGTCACTTTACTGTGAATTTATTATACAGCAAATGTTTCTGCTGCCCGAGACAAAATTTTAACTCATTTTTATGCAGTCTGTCAGATATACAATATTTTTACTAAACATTTCTCTTGAATTTTAATTAAAATATTTTTTTTCAGAATATTCGGAAGAGCTTCAAAGATCCGAATCAAAATTTCCCATTGGGGTTTTCACATGTGTGAAATAATTAATAGCGTAAACCTGAAACTTCAATTACTTTCGCGCCTTTTCTTGATGTGCTTTGTACTGAAACAGATTGTGAATAGCAGTCCTATTGCAAGTTCATATTAATTACGAATATTAGCATCCAAGTTGTGAATAGGAAGAAAAAAGTAACTTGAAAAAGTGATGCTATCTTGGAAAGCTTTCTGAAGGAAACGGGAGAGAATTTGAGTTACATAAAAGACATATACAACTTCGAAATAGCGTAATCACTCACCACTGTGAGAATGCTAGCAAATACGAAATGTCAGAAACTGAATGGTTTTATGTAGGAATTATTTAATGCATTAAAAATTTTAAATTGATTTTATTAAAAATACTATGACATTTATAAAATTATACATTATTTCAAATATGCGCATGTGCTATACTGTATTGTTCCCATTAAAAAGACGTGAATTTTATTGTGGGATGGCATCGTTCATTATAATTGGATGACGCGACAAGCTGTGAGAGTAAATCTTTTACTTTTTCGATGACAAAGTCAGACGATTCCGCCATTAAGATGATGACGAAAGAAAGATGAAGAAAGATGTTTGCATATTAAAAACTATTCCTTCTCTTCATTTGTAAATAATCTCACCTATTTCCTTCTACGTATGTAATTACTTTGTAGTTTGTTGCAACTATTCATGTTTCATTAAATATTCAAGTTTTACATAAATCGGACTAGTTTATTAGCCCCTAGACAGCCACCTAAGAAGTAAGTTTACAGAAATCATATTCCTAGACACTAAATACCGATTCTACATTATTATAATATAATGCACCATTAAGTACACTTTAGACGTTAGAACTTCCTTCCACTTTCATCCTTCTGTTTAAAGAATCGGTAGATTATGGAAAAGTCATATTTCATCACAGAGCTGCTCTTAAAAATGTAAATCTCTGCATTAAAACACATTATGAATTATTTAACAGGACATCAAATTTTTCAGTTATTTGACCTGCTTTTTATCTAATACTCAGACTGCAACAAATGTCCTTTTACAATCCCCCCTTTTTTTTTGCTTTTTCCAGGGAAATTTCAAAAGAGTTTTCCTTTTTTTCCCTTTGAAAACGAAGTCTTCTTGAGAAGATTCATAAAAGTCTCTTTTAAGCACACTTACATTTTTACATTTAATCCTGGAAAAAAAGAAATAACATCAAAAGATGCTCAATAATAAATCTTAAGGTTCAATGGATGTCGACATGTTGAATAAACTTTGCAAAAGCTTCACATGGAAAGAGAAATCCAGTATTCTGTGTGTTTACTTAGAGAGAACAACTTTTGATTTTGTAAAAAGGTAGTATATTTATAGAAAAGTTTTCATTACAATGATAGTATTTCATACAGCCAAAGAGAAGCATAGATATCCCCCAAAGGGAAACATTGCCCTTTTCTACAAAAAATGAATTAAAAGGGAATATAAACATTTGCAAACTTTTAAACTTTTTTTTAAGCATTTCCTTTATTTCAATCAGAATAGCATACATATAAATATTTTAAAAAGAAGATGGAAATATTCAGTATTATATTTTCAAGTTGAAAACTGAATGCAACATTTCAGCTTGAAAGTAATTTTAAAATTTCAATATTTGCACATTAAATGCTGAAATTTAAGAAGAGATTAGATTAGAGTTAATTTAGAGATAAGATTTGCGCAAATCTGACATTATTTCCTAAAAATAAAAAATTAATAATCTTTACAAAATAATGTCTTTTATGAAATTAACTCTTATTAACAATACAAATTCTTTAATGTAACAATGTTCATAAATTGAGACTAGGTTTACCTTCAAGTACGTATCACAGATACAAAAATTTAGTTGCAAAGTTTCTTTAAATAAGATGTAGAATTTAATGAAAGAAGTATAAATATAAACGCTTTAAGATTGAATTATTTTGTTTACTGCAAAGCACCCTATGACTGCCTACGAGAGAGGAATGCTCGATGACCTAAATTTTAAGACTTAGGTTTGGTTAGATTACTTGAATATGACAAAGCATATGAGGGCTACTTGGGTAAAGGCCAGTTTACATTTCTCCGAGTGACTCGTAGCAAGCCTCTTGCTACGGTTTCTTTTATAATGTAAACGCTCACTTCGCCCGAACTTAAACGTAGGGAAGATGAGCCAGCGGTTCCGTTTCTGCTTCAAACCAGATGAAAATCTATCCGGGAAGTAGCTCCGAGCAGTGTTCGCAGACTCGTAGTGCTCAATTTTTTCATCATGTCGAAAATTCCGAGATGGAGCGATAGTCAAACTATGAAGTGCTAAGGAATACTTCGCTATCTGAATATTACAACCATTGTTTACTAATACCTAAATATAACGTGGATATCACTACCGATCAGAATGAATTTAAGTTTTTGATATTGTAGAAAAAACATAAAAGAAAATTAAATTAGGGTATTAGATTCAAAATATTTATTTTAAACATATTGTTTATTTTCTGAATTTTCTTTAATCAAAAAAGAATTAAATTATTTGTTATTCAACTACCCGATAAAATAGTTTTCAATTAAAAAATAAATGAAAGGGCAAACATTTGATTTTTTTATCCGTTTTTACTCATGGCCAATTACACCAAATAAAACATAATTTAAAATTTTAAAGTTTTGTTTATAGAATTTCCTTTTTATTTAGAACAAGTTTTTTTTTTTTTTTTTTTTTTTTTTTTTTTTTAACAAACGATCAGTCGGAAGTATTAAGATAAAAATCACCAGCAGAAGGCGTATGAGGAAATGGAGAGTTTACGCAAAAGATTAATAATTTTCGCTCAACCTCTTACACAAAAGTGGCCTCCCACACTTCCGGAATAAATATGCTGATTGTGCATTTTGGCACTCAAAATAAATATTGTGGAGAACTGTAGGAGTCACCCATCAGAAACTGAAACGTTATCTTCAGTTTTAATTCTGCTGGCAGAGCATTTCGAAAGATCGTATTTTTTGTTGTGAATAAGTGGAGTCACCATTCCCAAATAAAGTTTCAAACTATCCTTCACCCAATCTGATGAAGGTTTTGTAGTTTGGATATCCTCGCCCCAAAGTTCATTTAAAAATTGAATTAGTGCTTCTAATTCATCACGGTGAACTACACAGCCATTTCTTCTTTTTCTTTTTTCTTTTTTTTTTCTTTTTTTCTTTTTTTTTTTTTTTTTTTTTTTTTCTCTGAGAACAGAAATTAATTTGTGAGAAATTGCTTCGCAAATTTCAAGCACTGCAACTGACAAACGCAGGGAAGTTGTCAGTTCGCTTTGATTGGTTAAACAATCTATCAGATTACAGGTCCGCTCACTCGATTCGAGACGCCGTAGCGAGGGGCTCTCTGCAAGTTACTCGGAGAAATATAAACTCCCCTTAAGGGAGAAAATGACTTTGTGGAAGACTTTCTATTGTCGTATTCACTTTACGTACAAGGAAAATCACGTAACCAACCAACTAACGCTTTTGCCTGGGATCGATCCCTGGGTCCTTCCAGTATTTGAGGTAAACTAGTTGGTATTCATGTTACATATGGAAAAATTAGGAAAACGACTATGCAGAATGCCTATCCCGCTGAACTGGAACTCTGCTAGAATAAACTATCAGAGATTAGAAACCTTATCTAGTACTTAGCTCAGAGGCCCTTGACCGCTCGGCCACTGGTGAGGCCGGTAATTCTGCTCGGGTTCGGATGCAAGCAAATTGACTAGTTGCATAGTTGGATTTCGTGGTTTCCCTCATGTGTAATGCGAATACAAACCAATTTCCTTTGGAAAGTTTTCTACGAATTCATCTCCCCTCTGAACTCTGATATCATTAAAAGCTGTTAAGAGTTTTCTGCATAACTTATATTATACCTTTGTCATTCAGCAAAACATTTCAGTTACTAAAACACTCTTACTATTAGTTAATTAAAATAAAAAATTTCAATGCTTTTACTGTGTGTAAAATCTACTGATATATGCTCCAAAAACATTTTCAAAAGGGGGCCAGTTACAAATCTCAGTGGCTTTTAATCTAAGACAGAACCATTAGCAATCATATTTATCAACATTTTTCTTAACATTATTCCATAACATTTTTCTCAAAATCTTGAATTATGAAGATAACACGCAGAGAAATATGACGTAAGCCAGTATACTTGTTCTTACATAAACTACACCGATGTTCTGGACCAACAAACTATCTTAAGCCAGAAAATCTCCAAAAAGGCTTGGAATTCTGTGCTTTTAATTAAATGGGTGCATGATTGAAGCAAATGTATATATATTTGTATATATTGTAACTATTTTACTAATTGAGATTTTTTTCCGCTATCACGAATTAAAAGACATTTTGTTTATACATCCCTTCCCACACAAGATTATTTTCATTAAATGTTGTATATTGTAAGCATTCAAAATGTTCATTACTGTAAGCATTCAAAATCTGAAATGTGATAACATTCGGAACGATACGGTGAGTCTAATGGGCGAACAAATAGGCGTTTTATTAATTCTTATTTGGCTGCATGAAAATTCTTCTTCCAAACAACTAGCGAGTACAGTACAGATAGCAGTCATGAACCAACAGATGCTAGCGAGAATATGCCCTAGGACAGCATTTCACTTAATGCAGTGATGCTTGAAGGCAAACTTAACGAATTAAGGAAGTCGGAAGATTTCCTTAGTTTCCTATGCAAAACTCTTCCAATACATTTAAGCTTGTGCGAGGAATTCGTGATATTTTCCATTTTGCACACGTTCCAGAAGTATTAATGAAAGTTTTAAAGCAATTAGAAGGAAATCGCCAAATTAGAATTCATCATGAAAGTCTGAATGCATCTTAATGTCTCAATTTTTATCCTTAGGAAGCATAACTGAGTTAGAAATTCTATTAAACCTCGGTAAAGTGTAATACTAGAATTAGTTACAGCTTAGGAAATTGCAACGCTCCAGCTAATTAGACAGTTAGCAAGAATTGCAGCGGAATGTTATGTTGATGGAAACCATGTGGGAACATTATTTTTGTATTTAGGAACATTATTGCTGCACTTACCGTTGAAGTCAACTCTTTTAAACTTGCTTTGTAATCATCTTCCGAAATTCTGGAAAAGTAATCAGGCATTATTATTAATCTTAAATCAAGTGAATTGCTGAAGCAAATCAATATTCCATGTTCTTAACATTATTAAATAAATATTAATCTCTTTCACAGCTGTTGCCAAACTGCACAGCATAATTTTCAGCTTAATTTTAGTCAGTGCTATAATCAAGTTATCAGTGTATTAGATCTACCCATTTTAATAGCAATATATATTACTACTTAGCGATGCCTTCATACTTACCTTTGACACCAAAGATTTTTATTTGCTTTTAATTTTTATGTTGCGAGCCTTCAGTCATTTATTATAACGTAATCTAACTGATGAAAATATTTATAATTTCATAATGTGTATAGTTCAGGTAGGGATTTTCTTTCTAAATGTCTCACTATTATCTGTACAATATTATACTACAGAGTGATTAAAGGTACGTAAATTATTTAGTGTAAAAAATTACTCAATTTTTATTAGTGAATGAAATTGTTAATTATTCGCTTCACCGTTTTCCTTGAAACAGACTCGTGTATTAAAAAATTATCGTTAGTATCTCTGAACCTCAATACAATATTATTTATATGTGTGTATATATATATTAAATATATGTGTGTGTGATGAAAAGTACTTTGTGATACTGATGGCGTAGAATGGCACTTGACACAGATTAAATGTTCATTTTTATTTCAACTGACGCAATTGACTTGGCACACTAATCGTGCCTGCTTCAACACAGTTACATTTTAGATTTGGTTGTGTTAGGAAAAGCAGCGGCAAACAGCATCTTACTGAGCAGAGATATTACAGAGATTACACTTCTTACTGAGAACAAATTGCGAGTTATGCAACATTGCAGCTCGCCAAGAGAAAGGTTTCAGTTCTCGAAATTTCGAGTTCAAGCTCCAAATTAGTTACATCATCAGCGTTATTAAGTCTTATGAATGGATTGATTTAGAAGTGACGCAGTCGAGAGACATTTTGGTACATTGCAGATGCTAGAAGGAACATATATAAAAATCTAAAGAAGAAATTGGTACTATTCTGTTTTCTAGGGCCGTAAAAAATCGCCAAATTATCCTTGATGCCATTGCTGCCTAAAAGAATTGCGGCAAGAAAGGAAGTATAATAATAAATAACTATCTAAGATTGATGTTTTAATTTAGATGAAAAGTTAATTTCATATAATACTTTTAAAAAAGTTTATATATAAATTATAATAAAATTATATGAAAAAGGCTAAACATGACTGAATGGAAGCATGAGAGTAAACTATTTCAGATCATTATTATAATTTATATAAAAATTGCTAAACATAACTGAATGGATGCCTGCATTGCTATTTCGCTATCAACTTATCGCTAAAGAATAATTCATCTCGTTGGTTGTTCAAACGCAATTTTCTATAATGAATGATGCACCGTTTCTTTGAAAATATTCTCGATAAAGTGCAGAATCGCTCACTTATTTGATTGCCGCATTTTACAAGGGTAAAAACAAGTGGATTTTTGTCAATTTTCTTTTACTTTTTAAGTGAAAATAGGTTGATGTGTATATGAATAAAGTCAAGGGTGTGTGCAGTGCCATTTTTGTGCAATTCTAGGATTTTTTTTAAGTGAAAATAGGTCGATGTGCACATGGATACCGAGTATGTGCAGTTCTTACAAACGCGTCAAGCAGTGGGTGATCTGCACTTTACCCAAAATTCTATTCCCGACTTTTCGTCATGGGCAATTCCCAAATTGTTAAATCCATAGGATATCAAAAAAGAATTTAAAAATTAAATTAGTATTTCAATGGCGTCTTAAGATATATAGAACTGTATAAACTTAACGCAATCTGAAATCAACGCGTACGCTAGACTTGGCGCGCTGTTAAATGGGCGCATTTGCTAGATTTGGCGCTTTTGCGCATACATTTCTTACGGCCCTCAAAACAGAATAGTACCATTACATTTTATGAGCTATTGCTAATTTAGTAATTTATTGGAGATTTATTTTCCTATTTTATATTTTACATATAAGATTTATTTTCTTATTTTACAATTTACACATTCTCCAATTACTCGAAGGAAAAGGCTTGGAGAAAGAACACACACACACACACACACACACACACACACACACACACACACACACACACACACACACACACACACACACACACACACACACACACACACACACACACACACACATATATATATATATATTACATAATTTTTTGGGTATTTAGGATGGGCAATAGCCTTTGATATTATTTGGGATTATTTAAACGGTTCAAACCTACTGACGACACTTTTCAAATCGACGAGTCTGTCTCGGAAGTAAACGGTGAATTAGTTATTTGCGGTTTGGGTCTAGCGGGAACAAGGCAGAATTGGAGACAAAGTAACTTCCAATACCTTCTATGTGCATTATCGTTACACAAGACTAGCTGGACTCAAGATAGACATATTGTAAATACTTCATTAAAATTTAATGTACATCAAGACGGCATAAACTCTTCACCGCAAGATTTCTCGCTTCTTTTGTCTCGAAAATTACCTCAGAACATAATGTTGCGTGGTACGGGTTCGTAATGGATTGAATGCACACTGGATCGATGATAGCGTGATAGAATTAATTTCCCCAAAAGAAACGCTTTACAGTTTTAGAACTTTCCCCAAAAGCATAAGCGGTAAATCTAAGAGCTGATATTCTTTCCGGGCTTGTACAATTTTCCTCCATTCACAGAGAAATCGCTAGTACCCGCCATTTTTCAAAATTACTGGAAGGCATATACGTTTTAAAGTTACATACAAGGGTAGGATACGATTACAGTTACACATAGGTATCAATTATATTTATTCAATTATAGTACCAATTACAGTTATACAGAGACCGAACCAAAATGTCGCGAATTTTTCGCCAATTTTTGTGACTTTTGACTATTTCTCGCCAAACTTGGCAACGAAGATTTGTTGCCAAAACCATAGCCAGCTTGGCCACTTACCTCAATGTTTAATTGACCTGTACCGCCTGAGCTTCCCTTTTTCAAGCATTACATGATACATTATACCAGTGCTCCGCAAGCGGTGTGCCATGAGTAGGATATAGGTGTGCCGCAATCAAATACATGTATTTGACATTTTGCAATTTTTTATCATGTAATTAATACACAATGAAAAATTTTTTCCTTAATAATGTCTATTTTAAATGTTTTTATACATTTCACTGTTGTGTGGTTGTGTGTGTGATTGTAAGTGTGTCAGCATTTGAATTTTTTCGGCACTTCCTTGATAACTCGGAACTCTTTGGTGTGCCACGAAATTCCAGAAAGATTTTTTGTGCGTCGCAGGTGAGAAAAGGTTGCGGAGCACTGCATTATACAAAAGACAATTTCATATATAACTTTACTAGAATTATTTTCATACATACAAAATTCGTAACAATACTGTACAATACATAATTTTCGAACAAAATGCGAAAGAAAAGTGTGTTAGTCATATGTGATGTATATATATATACTATATGTTAAATGTTTCAGCCCTATAGTTCCAGCATGAGAGAAGACTAGCACATTTCATTCCCATGCACATGTTTAATTGGACAAGGAATACTTAAGTCATTGGACGGACGTTGAGGTCCTTCTGGTAGCCTACCTGATAGAAATGAAGTGTCAAACATCCACTTACTATAGAAAGAGACTTAATTGGTCGGCTTCACACTCTGTTCACTTTTGCGGACGTCACATAGATGGTCGAGTTTATTACACCATGCGCTAAGTATGTCTAAATATACGTGGGGTTCTGTTTCAGCATCTTGCATAAACGCAATACGATATGCATATGTTCATAAAATATAATATTCCAATAAAGCTTATTTTACGAATACAGGATACAAAAAATACTTTCCCATTTTTCTTGAAAATTATAGGCCCCAAAAGTATCGTTCTTGGTCAAATTTTATGGAAATGGTCCCGGGAATCTCATCATATATTTTATGCGGTCTACATCAGACACAGCACATGCAGCAAGCATTTACACTAGGTAAAAATAAAATATTTTGCCCTGTTTTAGCAAAACAGTCGAATAACAAAATAGACAGTTTTATTCTCGACATTTTTCATCTGGAAAATATTTTAAAGATTAACAACAGGCACAATTCTATGCTGAAAAATATCTTCAGGAATTTCATGGAAAGTTCTCAACACGTTAAAATCCTTTGTTCTTAGAGGTAATTTAAGGCAAATCTGTCAGCTGTTCTATCTCATTAACGGTTTTACCAGAAATTTCTCTCGTATTGTAAATGATTCTTTTATCTGTGAGCATAACATATATAGCTACAGATTAGATTTACTTTTGGTGATAGTAGATTCTTACCGCATTCGTTTTATTTCATTGATAATGTCAATGGGTTTTAGTTACCGTCTTTTTTGCTTAAATTTAACATCAGGGAAACCGCTGTTATCATTGCAGTCTTGCGAGAAAGTCTCTCATGCTTACTTGATCAAAAGTATTGAAAGGATATTAATTGCTTGTGTCGATACCTTCTGCAAATTTTCGAATGGTTTCTTTTCAGTATATGCTTTACATAGCACTAAAACTCCCTTAGTCAAGGGTCCATAAATGTCATATGATTTTTAACGACAAACGATTTTAGTCACGACTTTTAAAACAGATGTGACTCAGCATTGCAGTTGCCAACGAGAAATTTTTTTTTTCATACAACATATTTGTCACTTTCTTTCATTCTCTGAAAATTTAACTTGCCACTTAAGCTTTCTTGTTAGACTTATGCTACAGGAAACGACTTTACTTCAAAGATAAATTTAAAACTTGAGAGATAGAAGATGATAGGCAACTTAAGGTAAAAGTTTTCAGCTCAAGTATCAAAGCCGCTAGTATCAAAATCGCATACATTTGTTTTTCTCTTGAATGTTGCTGTCTGATCTGTAAACGTGGAAAAATGCCCTATCTACTAAATGATATAAGCCTTGGACAAAAGAAAAGAACTTGATACACTCTCGCAAACTCTTTACTATATTCATATTATGCATTATGGCATCCTTTCGCAGCAGTGTGCTCACGACGATGCTTTGAAGCTTCTGAGTCATATGTTGTTAGTTATTAACTCAACAGCTGTGGCCTAATTTGTTGGAAAATCAGTACTTTTACCTTTGGGTCAGGAACTTCGTGGTACCTATATTACACGAAACGTTTTCTTACATAATATGGGTTAAAGTAATGACTCCACTATTAAACCTTTACAATTTACACACTTAAGTGCACACCCTGGGGAGCTATTTTCTTGTTAGGGAATTATCGCTCTGACCACTAATTATCTTTCACTCACATATTAAACTCAGTAATTATTTATTTACACATTCCTGATGGATTACGGCTAAATTCCACAACACAACATAGTGGATTAACTTATCGATAAACCGTTATCAAAGCTGAAACAATCTACTTTCTGATTTTTTTGTTTGTTTGTATAATTATGGCAAAACCTCGAGGGCTATCTGCCTAGGGGGAGGGATGCGTTTCGTGGAGGATTTTCTAAGGGAAACTGGCTCGTATACACGTTACACACGGGGAAAACCACGAAAACGCCCATGCAGCCAGCTCGTTCGCGGGATTCGAAACTCGGACCGAACTACCAGTGTTCAGCGACTTTACCGCTCAGCCGCTGGTGGGCCCTCTACTTTCTGATTGTTTCCTGTCAACCGAGAAACTCACATTCACTCTCTCGGAAGAGAGCAACACAGCTACTGCTACCAGCGGAAATCGCTGACCAATTGAACTAGTGCCAATTTTCTCCGAGGCAATACTCAGGCCTTTTCCAGTATGCATAAGTTACAGTTTAACCTATCTTAAGCTATTTTGTGTGATCTGAATTTGCATACTTCTAGTCTGAAGACATGAAACAGAGAAGCTGCGACAATGTTTAACTTTAATGCAAGCTTAACTATTAACTAAAATCAAAACCAGTTCTGACAACATTTTTTATTTCATTTGACGAAAACAAGAAATTTATTGCTAATTGCTAAAAAGCAATTTCGAAAAGATGACTATTATTAAAAGAATTGGAATATCATGAGTTATTTTTGGAGCTGCGTAAATCAAAACCCTTCCAATCTAAAAAAAAATAATAACGTGAATTATAAAGATTAATTTGTGGCTTACTTGGAATCATAGAGTTTCTTCCTAAGTAGTGTTTCAAGTACCGTAATTTTTCGTCTCAAGATGGCTCGCACGGTGTCTTCATCTCTTGAATACCCGGATAAAGAGCTGTAAGCCTTTTTCCAAACTTCTATTTCATGTTTCAATTCTGTTTTGAAAGCATTAAAAGGTATTAAGTATTTATTTGAAAGTCTTAAGAAAGATGAAAGATTTTAAGTATGTAGTAGATAATACGTAAAGTTTGTAACTGCAGTTTGTTAAGTGATTAAATTTTAAGACTTCTAAGACTAATTTTAAAAGATAAACTGAACCCTAAAATGGGATGAAAACTGTGCAGATTCTTCGGTTATTCTAATATATTTTTTGGAAAAGAATTATTTTGCCTCAAAACCTGCCTTAAACGTAGCTATGAAATTTATTAAACAGTTTTGTAAGTAATTGGTTTAAATCTCCTTATTAATGAGTAACCACGGTTTTTAATATAGAATTCTCAGCAAGTAGGTTTACTATTTATTATATTTTTAATGCTCTTTCCTTAAACGCCATATAGTGACAGATATGAGCGTTATAATCTCCTTTCTTACAGATTTGGATCTTTGAAGCTTTTCTAATTTCTACGTTAGTTTCAAATACGGGATTTTAATTATATATCACAGAAAGTTTTATGAAGTCCTAAACTATTATCATTAAGGTGTAATTTTTACTACATATTCAGTTAGAAATACTATAATTAAAACAGGTTCTTAAACCTAAGAATGAATATAAAAGAAATTTTGTGAATTATTTAGGCATTAAAGGAAATTGAAGAGCATTATATTGCACATAAGAATTACTTATTGACTAGACGTCAAACCTATTTGAATTTCATTCCTTAGTAGAACTGAAACTTGAAAAATTAAATGAATGTTTATTATAGTACTCGCTGTGTATAAATAAAGGTGCTTTTAACAAGGAAATTTTTAAGAAAATAGAATAGGAAAGGTGGTAATTATGATAAAGGTCTTGTTAACTGCGGCTTAAGATCTCAACCTGTTGACAATTCCTGCAGCACTGGGTTAAATTCTCGGTCAAAGCAGAGGATTTATAAAAGTAACCGCAATCGAGATTATGATTATCGAAGTATAGTATTTACGTAAACATATATCATCAATTTTTGTTGATCTTAATTCAAAATCTTAAAGCTTTTGAGTTAAGATAAAGCGATTTTATTTATATGCATAGATACAATTTGTCCATTTCTTCATAGGAGGCAAAGGTGGCCCACCTGTTAGGTACTTCTATAGTAAACTGACCATAGCTTCCGGTCTTAGTAGTGGCCAGCGCTTATAAACGGCAAGAGCCCGGCCCATTGGGAAGGGGAGTAAGATTTAATTTATTTATAACAACTCAGATATAAAGCCGTACAACTATTTTTGCTAATGCAAACAGGTAGAAGTGGGCGGTACACCAGAAATTCATCAGAATTCGTACAGATATAATCCCGTCTCGCTAACTGTGGAGTTTCACCTCAAATTTGAGAGAGGACACCTTGCAGGGCGGTCCGAAGTCTTCTACCCTATTTCCTAACCACAAACCTCTAGATAGGACTTTCGACTGCACACATGATACGCTTGCAAACATACATGCCCTCTCCAGGATTCAAACCAGGCTCATGCAAATAACAAAATTCGTTATTTAAGATTACAGAAGTGATTTATATTTTTCAGTAGTTTCGCTTTCATTTTCGAATTGAAGGGTGGATTGTTTTAATAAGGCAAACCTCACGAAAAATACATGTCTAACCTACATACAATTTTGAATTAAGTCTGCCAGGGGAATGGAATCGGAGAGTCTCTTCTCTCTCGTTCCTTACATGCAACATCTCGAAAAGACTTTTGATTGATAGAATTCAAACGCACGGTTCGAAAAGCTGTTACAGTCACAAACAACTGTGTTTAATCCCAGGCTTGAAACCGAGCTCATTGGCTGGAGGCAGCCAGTCTATTTTAGTAAAACTCAGATCCACCTTCCCTTGAACATCTTTATCCTTACTTCCTTTCAGTCCATACATATTTCTCAGGCGATATTTTTATTGTGGTGTGGTGTGGTGTATTTAATTAAGGCAAAGCACACTAGGGCTATCTGCCTAAGGGAAGGGATGCCTTCCGTGGAGGACTTTCTAAGGGAAACTGGCTCGTATACACGTTACACATGGGGAAAACCACGAAAACACCCATGCAGCCAGCCCGTTCGTGGGATTCGAACCTAGGACCGAACTACCAGTGTTCAGCGACTTTACCGCTCGGTCGCTGGTGGGCCTATTTGTATTGTGGAAAGACGGCATATAAGCGAAGTAATAAATGGATCAGAAGGCTGAGAGAATATTTTAGTGCCTAATTGTTTTGCAGTAAATATTATGCAGATTCTCTCTACTGCCGGCCATAAACAATCCTTCTGCAATTGTCAAGAGTTAATTTGAAATAAATTCAATTCCTACAGGAATTAGTAATTTAAATGATATCGGAATATGTTCTGTATTCTCCAGGTCAGTTTATCTAATTAAAGATTAATTAGTGCGAAATTTAACTTAAGCCGATTATTTTATCCCTTCTGGCTAAAAGTCTCGCTAATATTTTATTCAGAATATTCTCAGTTACTATGAAACGTTGTTTTCATGTGAAAAGCAGAGACGTTATTGTTAAGTTTGGAGAGGGGGATGCCACCAAAATTTACTATACAAATTTAAAATTAAACTGAAATCTATTAGCTTTGTGTTGCTATAGTTTTTGATTTACAGATGGAAGTTAAAAACTATTTTGATACATGAAGTAGTTTGGAAGCTAACAGCCGTGTATATATTTGTAAAAATATTTACTTAACTTAAAAGGAATACAATAAAATATTTATTATTTACACGAAAAAAAATTTCTGAGAATTCTAAAGAAATATGAAATTTTGTAATGCTTTTAAAAAGAAAAAAAAAATTTTCTAATAGTAGTTGAAACAGTTTGTGCAATTTACATGACAAGAAGCTTTATACTACCTTTCAGGTACGCGACTTTATCCTTACGTACATATCACTATAGTGTACATACTTGTAATATTGATTCCTACATATCTGATTGATTCTTACATACATTATCCTAAATACTTCTACTATTGATGTCATTGGTAGAAAAGTATAATTATATAAGGAACTTTATAATGTACTGTTACGTTCTTCTTTTCTGACACCATTTGTTACGTTATTTTCTTCCTTCACGTTCGTACGGGGTTCGTAGATTTAGAGTGAATAACAACGGCACTACCTGATGAAGTATCGAAACACACTTTATTAGCCAGTTTTGTCAGACAGCTCCAAAACACGTTTTACAGTCGTTGATGAACGACTATAAATACGCCGACACGATCAGCGACACAGCCTTCAAGTTATCAGGCTATCACGGTGGAGACAGCTTCACAGCAAAGCACCAGAGTACAGCTCCCGACTCTGCTCAGTCGTTCTCGGAACTTCACGTACTCTCGAGACTCTCCACGCTACGACTCGCGATGCTATTGACGACACACAGAGCACGGCTCCGACTCTTCGGTTCAGTCGTTTCCGGAGCTCAACACACTCTTTCGACGATGCACTAACCGCGATACACTAACAGACTCCTTCGGTGATGTCGACGACCCACTCGGCACTCGCTGCCCGGCTGTCAACTCGATCGACTCCGCAGGGATTGACTCGCTAGACGAGACACCGACTCGATACTAACTAACTCGTACTCTAGACGAGGCACACACACACTAACGGACTGTGGACCAGCAGGGTTTATATAGCTTTCAGCTTGTGTTCGAGAACATTCTGGACTAAACCGGTAAGAATTCGTTCCAGAAGGTTCCCCATGCGTCCATAATATATCGCCAATTTTGTCATCAAATGGGCAATTTTTCGCCAAGTATGGCAACCTTGCTTTCTTTTGCCATTTTATGGCAACCCTAAAACTGCTTTGCGGGGAAGCCATCTTACCGCGCCTGCACATTTCGTAACATTAAGTGATTTCAAAACTGAACTAAAAAGTGATTTCTAAACTGAACTAAAAAGAGACGACGCATTACTATTGAAACGAAGTTTATGCTTTTTATTACTGCTAATTTTAGAGATTTTGCGTGAAAATATATTTTAAAACAAAACTAAAACACGAAGCTTACTTTGTGCATTATATACAAACTGGTTTTTTAATAATAAACCAAAAGTATCTCCTGTACTTGGCTGTAGTTAAACTATGCGTAAGAAAGTGTAAAAGGTATGTAATAAATAAATTAATAATATAAATTATGTACATACGTCTGTAATTTATGCAATGTCTTTATTATACGTGTATACACACATATTTCTTTTCGCCGTCGACAGAACAGCTGGCCCACTGGGTTACGCACTCTTCAGCCTGTTGGATCCCATCGATGGAATCAAAATAAGAAAGCTAGAGCTTAATGCTATGTCCTTCGGGAATTAACTACGTAAAGTAAGGAACACTGAAAGAAGAACCAGAATACGGACAGCATGGTGCATAGTGTGGACTAAAGGAAAAGTCTACGGTGGGGACTGTTGAGACTAAGATGAAAATGCTGATGACCACTTTATCTTGAGCACCGCAAAACTGCTGTAGCTTGCAAGGAGGTACTGACATTGACGAGTACAATCTGCTCATAATTGTAACGCGTACTGATAGTTACACAATTAAATTAAAAGAGAAACTGAAGCTGTACATGCTACATTATCAACAGCTTTGACAATTGGTAATATGTTACGCACTTCTGCTGATTCAATAAATGTTTTAGTTACCTCCGTAAAGCCTATCATTTTAGCTTTTGAATTATTATTCATATTGCTTTAAGCAAATATGTAGAACCTCAATTATTTGATGTTATTTAATATAGTATAAAGAGTATTCATGATCTGTTGTCATTAATATTTTTAATAGAGAAGCACAAGATTTTGAGTATGAATTATCCCAACATGGATATGAATTTAGTTTTGATTAAAGGCGCTTGGGTTAGATTGGATTGCTCGATCACTGAAAAGCATACCTACAAAAGGAATGGATGTCTTCGTGATGGATGTTTTAAAGAGTTTTGGCAGAATTTGCTTTACACACGGAGGAGAAACTAGAATTTTAGGCAGCCAATCAGCCTATTTAAACTTAGAGAATATAAACACCAGAGCGAATCACTAGTGTTTCAGGACTTCAGCATTTCAGTCAATTATCAGACTTCAACATGTTCGAATTTAAAAAGCAAATGAAAAATAATTATTCGAAAAATAGTAGAAATATCCGAAAAATTCTCCAGTTATAATATTGAAAAAACTGAAAAACTAACAGAACCATATAACTATCTGGGAACAGTTGCACAGCAGAAAAAATTCCAAGCTTAAAGCAAGCATTTCAAAAATTTAAATAATAATATGTCAGTGTTTATTTTCCCATTTCAGTTTCAGACTAAAATATTCATCAATTGCAGGATGAATATGAAAATAAAATTTATGACACTACTGAGCATAAAAGTGTCATTCTTTCTCGATAATTTTAATAGTACAAAAATAAAAAACAGATTTTTGAGCTATGCAGAAATTCATTCCACATTGTGATGTATTCGATACGTAAACAATTCTGTGAACAAATTTTATTCCGTCTCGTATGTCAAAAGATAAATTTATTTTCTGTGCTTTTATGTATGTAAAGCGCACTGTTTAGCATTCACTCGCTCTACAATAGACATACAGTAGTTTATTTATCTGCAAATAAAATGCATTTGCAAGGAGCAAAAATCAACCGAGTTCGCAGTTCAACTTATTATTTTACGAAGTAGTTTTATCCCTAATATTTTATATAAATTTTTTTAGATAATATAAGCCTTTATATAAAATCTAAAAAATTACAGGCAGAGAGTATAGAGATGATCATATAATATGCACTATGGGATTTTGGATTCAAAAAATCTGATAAATGTTTTATACAAAATTTTGATAATTTAAATAAATATATGTTTAAAATACGCTCGAAACACGTAAGCAAGTTAAATAACAATTATTCGAAAAATTAATAAAAATATTTTTAAAATCTTACAATTAGAATATTATAATAAACTGCTACCTTAATCACACTTCCATATTTCTGTTTTTAGTTTCATCTTAAGATATTTTATAGTCAGGACAAACTGCATGGTCTTATGTTACACACATTCAAAGAAAAGAAAGATATTGTATGATACGTCTGACAAACAATATTCCCAGAGAAATAAAAGGATTTACAGGTAGAAGGAAACAATCTAATTCTACTCCATCTGTACCGTAATACGAGGAGACACCAGACAAAACTTAGAGAAGAGATGCATGTTTTTGCTTGGATCCTAATTAAAATAATGATGTTTGGGTTGACTTACCTACGACCTCTGGGGGCTCACTAAACCTCAGAGTGGACATATCTCTATACATGATTCGTATAAGTATGTAGGTTGCCGCAAGACAAAGTACAACTGCTGGAAGCATGTGGACTGTAAAGCTGCTGAAGCCAATACCCTAAAGAAAAGATTCCAAAATGAGTTAATGAGTCCTAAAGTTTTAGTAAAATACTTCAACCTTCCAGTATGCGCGCTTGGAAATTTTACATGAGCACGCGCGCGTCGTATTTTTTTACGACATCCGTTATTTTACCGTTTTTGGCATGAAAAAAGACAGAAATGAGTAAATATTGATAATAAATTGTTTAGAAATAAAATATTAATCTTATTATTGCAAACTACAAATGATGTCACATTCAAATATAAGTAAATTATTTTTAAGTTCTTATGTTAGTGAAATGGAAATGCCATGATGGATTTCAATATAGAAAATTTTAAATTTATTATTTAATAATTATATTTTAAAATTGAAACTAATTTTAATATTCATCAAAGGCAAGTACAGACAGTAAAAAAGTAAACACCTTGGTAGGAAATAAAGTAAGTTTAGCGTTACTGACTTCTGCAAAGAAATTTACTTCTTACTGGTTACAAAAACGCACTTTAAACTAACTTTAATATTTTTTATTTCTAAAAAATAGAAATAAAAGAAAATACAGAATGATGGAAATCGCTATCGTTTTCCCATCCAAAGGTTTTTTTTTTTTTTTTCTTTTTTCATTAGATAATTCTTGAAGAATACAAGCAAAATCAGCTGGTTGCACATATTTTTTTGCCATGAAAACCGATATAAAATTTACAGAGCTAAATGTATTCAAATTAAAATAATACACGGCAATTAATAACACAAAATTACAAAATATTTGAGAAAAAAATATTTTCCGAATTTTCATCCACGACCACACGTGTGTCGTAACTTTTACGAAAAAGCTGCTACGTAGCACAAAAGCCCAGTTAAAAAAATGTCAAATGACTTCCTGTTGGCACATTCCATGATGTGGGGAAGGGTTGAAAGGAGGAAATAGAAATGACCTTCAGACGTCTCAGCTTCGATATGCGAAAAATGTGCATTAAAAACTGAATTTGTCGTAAATTTTGCGCATACGCGTCTGCTGGAAGGTTAATAAAAATTATACAATGTCGGCTTATTAAAAAATGGTAAAAATAAAATTGCTTAATATTGCTGGATAATTTCAACACATTCGTTAATACTATAACGTTAGTGAGTATGTGTTCGTTATGGTTTGAATGCGCACAGAAGCGATGATATCTTAGGTTAGCTTAGTTAAAGCTATTTTCCCCAAACAAAAAAACTTTATGAAACTTTTTCACGAAAATACTCGTACAGCTTTTCTCAGTGTGACAAAACGCATACTACTTCAAACTGCTAAGTCAGTAGTAGTTACCACTTCAAACTGTAAGAAAGTTAAACACAGAACAAAATAAAGCACTTCAGTATATAAGGTAACACAATGCTTTCAATACTCTGATACTGAGCTAAATTCTGAACTAAACTCAGAGTCGATCTCTCCGGTCTTATATAGTTTTTCCCTAGCCGCTGAGAAATTTCCAGTACCTTCGATTTCTCGAACTTGCTCAAAGGCATGTACAATTGCAGTTCTATATAACGCTGAATACAGTTACATGTAAGGAATGAGATCAATTATATTTCTACAGGAATGGGACCAAAATGTTCGCAAATGGTTGCCAGTTCGACTTTTGGCGATTTCTGACCAAATTTGGTTAAAAATTATGCGCCAATACCATCGCCAGCTCGCCAATCTCACCAGTTTTGTGAGATAGCCATTTTTCTCAATGTTAAATGGACCTGCCTCTAATCTTACATTTCCTGCGAAGTTTCACTCTCTTGAGGCCCTCCACGTTACATTGTACAAGATATTACAGCTTTACATACAATATCTCTAGATTTACTTACATACATACAAAACTCGTAACAATACTATTACTAAAACACACATTAGGAAGAACATGTTACTAAGGCACCTATTAAACGAATCATAAGAGTAGATGATTATTGACAATGACTAATGCAAACCACTTATTAAAATTTCACTGAAAAGTGGCAAATATATTAGATAAAAAATAAGCTGTTTAGGTTTTAGCCCAAAAGGACGGTAGCCAGAAGGGCTATTCGTCTCAAAATGGAATTTTGTGGAGTTTCACTATAAACGTTTAAACAAATCACGTTTTTAATTATTACAACTAAATATTATCGTTCTGTCTTACATTTAAGGAAACTAAATAATGAAGAATCTGCATGAATGTTGTATGTTTCTCGCATTGTGAAAAAACAAACTTACCTAGAGCCATCGAATTTAGAATAACGTTATCCTCCAGCAGACCATGGGCACCTGGATTCCCGAATTTTGAATTTAGAAATATTTTTATTATCTATTTCATATTTTGTAAAAATTTAACAAATTTTTGTTTAACAAACTCAACAATTTCACAGCGACTAATGGCAACACTCTACAGAAAAAACATTTTTATCTCCAGCGCGCGACACTGTCTATAGGAAATTCTAAACATCGTCTGTTTTAAATATTTTGTGATATTGCTGCTTAATTGAATTTTATGTAGTTTGTGTATTTTATGTACGAATTTTATGTATGTGAAGAACACGATATTTAATAAATAAAGGTAACACACGAAACGTTAAAAAACGCCCCTTTGGGGTTGTATGAAATCTGAAAGCTTTCAGATTTTCTTTTTAAATTCAAATTGCTCTGAACTTGGTTTACTTAATTTGAATATAGCAAAGCACACGATGGTTATCTATTAAGTGAAATTTTCGTGAAGGACGTTCTATGAAAAAATTGTTGTTACACATAAGGAATCAAGTAGCAAGTGATCCAGTGATCTGCGTATGAGCTTGGCATATATATCAATACTAGCTTATTCCAACCATTACCATACACAAGCGTAAATCTTCATCCAACATCTTGTTAGAAACAAGCATCTCATTCACAAGATTTGCCCATTGTACCATTTTAAGCGATCGCTGAGTGGTGGCTCATTTCCGTTGCAGTAACGAAACTGATGCTTTACGGAATAAATGACCAAAATAAGAGAAATGCCGCATGCTAAATGTTTTTCTGCCATACATTCTTAAATGTCCAGCGCCTTCTTTCGGCGACACTTTAAAATATGAAGGTTCCATTTCGACGTAATATCAAAGCAATACACGATTATCAGATAAAAAATTATGCTCATCCGAAATCAGATAAATTATTTCGAATAACTTTGTATATTAAATACTTAAATTGCCATAAGTTTTTTAAAAGTGTAAAACATGAGCTAAAATGTAAAAAACCGTTAAGCAGAAGAGAATTATTTGCATGAATTATTTGCTAAATAGGAATTAAAAATATAACTTTATACCAAATGAATTTCATTAATTGCAGCAAAGCACTTATCAGCTAATTTAATAAATCTGGTTCTAGATAATTACTTATAGAAAAACATTTGAGGGATAAATACATAAGGAGATGCATGTCTTCGAGGTGAACTTTTTATGGGAAACGAGATATTTCTTGCTCTACGCGTCGAAAAACCTGTGTAATCACTTGTAAAGCCACTGGCCCAGTTAACTGCTTATAGTAGTGCTTATAGCAGTAAGGCGGACTATAGTTATATGCCCTAAAATTATATCTAAATTAATAATTTAATTTTCACGTAGAAAGTTCTCCACAGAGGTTTCCACGATTGGCTCTAATATGTTCTCCCTTATTCGAATGAAGAGGGCTCACCAGCAGCCAAGTGGTAAATTCGCTAAACACTGGCAGTTCGACTTGAGTTCCTTTCCAGGAATTGGGGCTGGCTGAATAGTTATTTTTCATAATGTGTAGAGAGGATCCAAACAGTTTCCTTTAGAAAATGCTCCACGAAGCATTTGGCCATGCTTCCTAAACAGCGTTTCCAGGCTTAAGTCCTCAACCATTGCCTGGGGACCGGTATTTAAAAGTAATGTGTAATACCTTCATGAAAGACCCATAAATTAAATGTATATGGGAACACACTCGTATAATATAGCATTGTGTTCTTTATAGCGCATATATATGTATATATTATAAGAGTGTGTGTGTATATATATATTATACGAGAGTGTATATGTATACACATATATACATATAGTCAGTTCATTTTGTTACAGGGAATCGAAACTTAAGGCAATTAAGCAGTTTTGTTCCTTTAATTCTCTCTCCTTGAAAGAACCTAGTGTGTGTGTGGGGGGAAGTAAATAATAGGAAAAAAGTGCGGACAAAACTTGGTACAGAAAATCAAAATAAGCTAAAGTTTTACAGATGAGGAAATCGGAACTGAGCATCTGGAAATGAAAAAAACATATTTAAAAATGTCTAGAAATAGATGCACTTTGATGATTTTTATAGAAAATAAAATTAAGCTGGAATCAAGTGCGGTATATTTTCTTAAAATAAAATTAAGCTGGAATCAAGTGCGGTATATTTTCTTAAAATACGGAGAGAAAATTTGTATAAAAGCAGCGATTATTTATATATTTATTAATGTACTCGGTATTAGAAATTTATGTAAACATATCTTCTATAAAATTTTTTTTTAGATATTTAAGCGTCCTTTTCTGATAAATTATTTAATTATTTCTTACACGTTAAAATGCTATGATAAAGATTTGCTGTAATTAATACGACACTTTATATTTTGCTTTAGTCGACTAGTTTGGTTTGGTTATTTGATTGTATCATATTATATGCGAGTTTTCTTCTTAAGGGGAGGAATGACTTCTTGGAGGCATTTTCTAAAGGAAACTGTTTGGATCCTCGCTACACATTATGAAAAATAACTATGCAGCCAGCCCCAATTCCTGGAAAGTAACTCAAGTCGAACTACCAGTGTTCAGCGAATTTACCACTTGGCTGCTGGTGAGCCCTCTTCATTCGAATAAGGGAGAACATATTAGAGCTAACAGTGGAGAACTTTTTGAAGAATACAACCTCGTATTCATGTTAACGCATAAGGAAGAAACATAAAATCCTAGCCGGCTCGCCCTTCGAGATTCTTACGCTCATTGAGAATCACTTTTCAGCGGTCTGTTTCATTCGGTTGCCAGTAAGCATG